GAGGGTTCGAGACCCGCCTGGGCAGGCGAGACCTCATCTCTACATAAAAAAAAAAAAAAAAAAAATTAGCCGGGTGTGGTAGTGCGCGCCTGTAGTTCCTGCTACTTGGAAGGCTGAGGCGGAAGGAATGCTGGAGACCAGCAGGTCGAGGCTGCGGTGGCTGGGAGTGGCCACTGCACTCCAGTCTGGGTGATAGAGTGAGACTCCCACTCAAAAAAAAAAGACACATGCTCTAGAGTTAGACAGCTCTGGGTTCAAACTGCAACTCTGTCCTTGATCTGGCAATGACCTTGAGCATGTTGCTTAACCTCCAGAGCTTCAGTTTCCTCATCTCAACAATGGGATAAAAACAGTAGCAACCTCTCTGGATCACAGTAAGGGATAAATGAGAGGATGTGTGTTAAGTGTCTGGTAGATCATTGATTGAGCGTGTACAAGACAAGGAATATAATTACTTTAATACTACGTAACTGAGGTCCAGCAGAAAAAGTTAAAAAAAAAAAGCAACCTGAACTCCAAACAAACAATAAGGTTCAGTGCCTGCTACACGGTTGGTGTTTAGCCAGTGCTTTAAAATAGATGCTTCTGAGGCCGGGCATGGTGGCTCATGCCTATAATTCCAGCATTTTGGGAGGCCAAGGCAAGAGGATCACTTGAGCCCCAGGAGTTCGAGACCAGCCTAGGCAACATAGCAAGACCTCAATTCTACAAAAAAAAAAATTAGCCAGGTGTGGTAGTATGCACCTGTAATCCCAGTGCTTTGAGAGGCCAAGGTGGGAGGATTGCTTGAACCCAGGAATTTGAGGTTACAGTGAGCTGTGATTGCACCACTACACTCCAGCCTGGGCAACAGAGTGAGACTCTGTCTCCAAAAAAAAAAAAAAAATAGCCAGGCATGGTGGCTCATGCCTGTAATCCCAGGCTTTGGGAGGCAGAGGCGAGTGGATTGCCTGAGCTCAGGGGTTCAAGACCAGCCCGGGCAACTTGGTGAGACCTCGTATCTACAATAAATCACAAAAATCAACTGGGCGTGGTGGTGTGCATCTGTAGTTCCAGCTACTTGGAAGGCTGAGGTGGAAGGATCGCCTAAGCCAGGGAGTGGCTGAGGTGGCCATGAGCATGCCACTACACTCCAGCCTGGGTGACAGAGTGAGACTCCAGCTCAAAAAAAAAAAAAAGTTGTCTTAGACCTAGTGGCCTTGGCAGGCAACCAGACACTAGTGACACCCACCTGGACCATGGGACTGAGGTCAGGCCCCAGGGCACCATGAGGGTGTGGTGGCACCAGAGGCCTCTGGCCGAGGGTGTGGGCCACCCTTATAACCTGCACTGCTCCACTTTCCACCTTCCAGAAGGTGTGGCCTTTTCTGCCTGGTAGAAGGGCAACTGCCATGAGTGTCACTCACATAGTGTCTTTGTGCCAGGCCCCGTGTTGGTATCTATAACCGTGGAAGGAACTGGCTATACCGGGAGTATTTATCGTGACCTGGTGTCGGCGTTTGATGTCCTGCAGCAAGGCAACATCAGTATTCTGTCTCGGCGTTGCCTCCTGCGTCCCTCGGAGCCCGACACCACTGGCTACGTAGCCATCGGTATCAACCACACCCCTGAGGCCCCGAGGACCTAGTCACTGTTCAGGGCACGAGAGGCACAGACTGCGGGGGGCGCGAGGGACCAGGCGTGCGGCTGGTGCCTCAAGAGCCCACTGGCAATGCTCACTGTGCCTGCCGTGCTCCCAGGTGTCATGTTTGGCCTGTGCTTCTTCGTCACTCTGTTTGGCAGCTATGTCAGTCGGCTGCGGCGAGTCATCTGCGCCTCCTACTATCCCTCCCGGGAGCAGGTGAGGGGTCCAGGACCAGCAGCTGTCCCTGCCCCTTCCCCAGGGTGCTTAGCTAGTAGCTCTCTGTCTTGGCTTCTGGAGCTTGGAGTCCTTCAGCAGCCCAGCCCTCGCTCCTCTGGTGAACTCCAAAGTATATTACCTGGCCTGCAGGCCTCTGGACCCCACACAGGGCTGGGAGGAATGGTGCCTCAGGGCAGGGCTTCCTGAAACAGCATCTGCCTCCAAAGTTTTGTTGAAACCGTGGGGGACAGGGACAGTATTGGCATGTCGAAGTGTGAATGAAAGCTTGCCATCTGTTTACTCATTTACTAACCATTTACTCAGCATCTACTGTATGCCAGCCACTGTGCTGGTCTCCAAGGACACCACGATGAACCAGACACAGTCTGGAGCTCGCAGTCTCAAGGCAGGCCAGACAGGCTTTTCATAAGACAGTACAACTTAAAAAGGACTTTTATTAAGGCATGAATAAAGTGCTATGAAAATCCAGAGGGAAGCATGGGTAATTCCGTCTGGGGAAGTCCAGAAGGCTTCCAAGAGGAAGGGGCACTTAAGCCAAGCCTGGAGGGAGTTGCAGGAGTTGGACAGAAGGAAAAGATAGAAAAGGGCATTCTGGGCGGATGAAACAGGGTCAAGTGGGACCTCATCCCTGGTCTGTCCCCATCAGGAGAGGATTGCCTACCTCTACAACATACTTCTGAGCCGCCGGACCAACCCATTGGCTGTCCTGCACCGAGCAGTGAGGCGGCGGGCAGCTGACCAGGGCCAGAGGAGTGCTTTTTTAGTGCTGGCAAGCCGGTGAGTCCACTGTCTTCCTATAGGGGTGGGGCGAGAGGGGACAGGAAAAAAGCCAGAAGTCAGAATGGCTCACTGTCCTCCCGAATGTCAAGAGGTCTGGTTGAAGAGGGTGTGCATTCCATGCCATGCACACCCTGAGAAGGGGAATTAAGGATGAGGATTCTCATGGGTTGGGAGTGAAGGGAGGAAGGCGGAAAGGGCAGTAAAGAGGTTGTTGCGAAGAAAGTCAGAAGGATGGAGGTTAGACTGCAGGAAGGCCTCTCTGAGGTTGAGAGGTTGGTGTTGGAGGGGGAGGATTCGGTTGGCTGGGCTGGCCCGCTCAGTGTCTGTGACCCCTCTTCTCAGGTGCCCATGTCTGGGTCCATTTGTCAGCCACTTCTGGCTGCATCAAGCCTACTGCCTGGGCTGTGGGCAGCCCCCAGGACAAGGGGGACACGGAGAACTTTGTGTCCTGCAGTACCCCAGGCTGCCAAGGTAAGACCCCTGGGGAGTGTGCCTCTGCCTGCTGGGACTCACCATATTTGCATATGACAATCAACTGTGCTCCTTCCTTTATGGGCTTCTCTTGTGTCTCACCTTTTGTGCTCCCCCCTCATTACTATGCATGTTCTCATTTACATAGCGCCCTCAGGTAGCTCCTTTTCACTGCACTTGCCTTCATTCTCTTGGGTATGAATGGGATTTATATGCAAGTGGCATTGCACCAGTTCTTTAGTGCGCACCCCCTTACAAGGACAGTCCCTCCAGGGGTGGCACGGGGGAGGCAGGGGCTAGACACCAGGGAGCACAGTGGGTGGGTGAGTTCACCTCCTTCGCTCCCCAGGTCTCTACTGCCTCACCTGCTTCCGCCTCCTGGACAACACCTGCTCTGTGTGTGCATCTCCCCTCTCCTACAAAGGGGACCTGGACCTAGAGCTGTGAGTCTTTCAGTGACATGTGTGGCCGGAGTCTGTGGAGGCAGTGGGAGGAGCCGCCTTCACCCAGGATGTCTGTGGGCCCCTGAGATGGGCGGTTTCTCCAGGGACTCTAGCGACGAGGAGGGCCCCCAGCTATGGCTGGCTGCAGCTAGAAGGAAGGACCCCGAGCAGGAATGGTTACTGCGGCAACAACTCCAAGACACGTGGGGCAGGAGCCTGTCAGCGGAGTCCAGCTCCGAGTCCAGGTGAGCCGGAAGCCAGTGTGCGCACTTGGGAGTTGCAAGGCTTAAGCGTTTTCTGTCCCATGTACACAAAGGGCTTCCTGACCTCTGCTGGGGCTGGAAACAGAGAGGAAGGAAGAGGAAGGAATTGGTGTCAGCACCACTCTTCACTGTGCGGCAGGAGTTCACCATGATGCGGGGAGAGGGACAGCAGGAGATAACAAAAGTGTGGCAACACTCTGGCCGGCACAGAACAGGGAAGAACAACCCATTGGGGATGGGGGGAAATTAATGAAGGCTTCAGAGAGGAGGTGACACATGAGCTGGATTCAGGGGCGACCCGGTGGCTTGCTAGGCCGAGAGGCGGAAGACAGTAATGGAGGGGGAGGCCTATGTGAGTTGGGGGAATGTGACACGTGCAAGAGGGCAGGGCCCAAGGCAGGCAGCATCTCGGTGGAGACCTCAGAGAGGGCTGGGGCTGAGGCTGGAAGACAAGGTGGGGAGATGGGCAAGGGCCTCGCTTGCCATTTGGAGATCCTGGGCTGGAGAGGAACATGCTTATATTTGTGTTTTAAGACCACAAGCTGAGAAGGCTGGGCAAGGGCAAGGAGGCCAGAGAGGAGGCTGGAGTTGGTGATGGCCTCAGAATTGAGGTGCTGAGGGTGGCTGGGCTTTCTCTCCTTGGGACTGGGCAGGTGTTAGGGCAGGAAGAGAAACAGTTTCTGGGGAAAGACTGGTCCAGCTTGAGATCCCTGAGGTGTCTGTTGGGTATCCAGCAGGAGATGCCCCGGGGCAGTTAGGAAGGGGCAGGACTCTGGGCGGGAGGTGTATTTTTTGGGAGAGCTTGACATAGAGATTGTAAGAGAGAGCATGAAGCCGGGCTTGGTGGCTCAGCCTGTAATCCCGTGCCTTGGGAGGCTGAGGTGAGTGAATTGCCTGAGCCCGTGGGTTCAAGACCCGCC